GCAACGATTAGTTCTGTGAAACAAAGCAAAACTAATGTTACACTGTGTCTACGGACGTGAGCGGCGCGGCGCAACAAATCCCGACAGAAAACTGCTGCCGGGTTCTATTTATGACGTGCTGACACAAATTTCAAATGGTTTTCAACGGTCGTTTGATCGCGTCCAGTGTAGTCAGACTTTAGCTGTTGTAGACACGGTGTTACTCACCTATTGAGAAGAAACAAAGCAACCTCGGGGTCCGATCGCAGGCCTCCGCTCCTTGAGTTCTCTCCAGCACTGGAAAGCTGATCCAATATTTTACACGGGTCCTACTTCTTGCCTTATCTTTCCGCAGACGTTTTCCTCTTTTGTTTTTTTATCCGCCATCTCTATCTTTCTGTCGCTCGGCTCGGCTAATGTCCGTCCCATGCACTGAACGCGCTCTCCTCCACATCACGAGTAGACACGCCCCTTATTGCTGATTGGCTACAAGTTTGTTTTGCGATTCGGCCCGAATCAGTTTTCTAAAGTGTTTTTGAAAAATCACATACCCTGCCTTTAACATCCATAGAACCTTTCCATTGCACAAAATATTTGGAAAATGTATAATGGAAAAAGGTTATTGAGATTATTATAATGTTCTTAACTCTAAGAAAAAAATGGTTCTTTTAAGAACTGTTCACTGAAAGGTTCTTTGGGGAACCAAAAATGGTTCTTCTATGGAAACACTGGAAAAACAAACTTTTGGAAACACAGTGTATATGCCACCTTAAAAGTAAAGGGTTTTGCACTTTACACTTACATTTGAAGAATCTATAATGAAACATCAAGAACCTTATAGTGTAGCTCAAACACTGTATAATGCCAAAATACTGCTGAACCCAAGAGTCACTGAAGAACGCTTTATCTTTAAGAGTTTATACTAGCTATTACTGTCTCTGTCTGAATAAAGGGAGTAAAAATGAATAAACGGAGACAGTGTTTTGTTACGCCCTCATAAAGGGTGGTCTGGTGTCTGTGTTGTCCTTCATCAGATGTCTGTTGTTAGTGGCAGTCGTTTTCTCACACTTTATCTTCACTGTGATCTCTCTGTCTCTCGGGACTATTTCTCTACCCACCCTCTCGCTCTCTATCAACGCTTCCCATCCTGATGGCCCTCAAGAAGCAGCGGGGGCTTTACAAAGTCAAACACAGTAACGTCAGCAGTGCAGGACAGGCCAGAAACAGCATTCATTGGGATGTTGGTTTGGAGTGAGGTTTGGATGATGGAGACACCTCAAGTTTGAAGAGATCGCTCAGTATCAAGTTTTCAGAAGTGTTTCTGAAATATGGTAAAATGCTGGGGAAAATCCTCCATGAAGGCGGTTGTGTGAACTGCCAAAATGAGGTCTGTCTGCAGAGAAAATATTTGCACAAAGAAATAGTGACCCTGAGGAATGAGAAAGAAAGAGCTTTTTTTTGGAGGTACTCAGTGGTCTGTACTTCTGTTAGGATCTGGTACCAGCCTCAGTCTGACTGGTTGTGGAGTCAGGAAGAGATGCAGAAATACTTCAGTTTGGATGATTCCGTATTATAGACAACACTATCATCGAGCTAAAGTTAGGATGAATTGCTGTGGATCCATTACAAATGACTAAAGTATACTTTAAGCAACACAGCAAGTTTGTGGTGACATTTCTGCAATATATTATGTTGCTACTTGCATTTTTTGCAACACTTTAAAATTGACGCTTAAACTGTGTTTAGTTCTATCCAAAACAGATCAACATGAATCTGGCAATGTTTTATTACTTCGGGTGTAGTACATATCATGCCATTCGTGTTTGAAAATTATGTAGCTCCTACACTTAACCCTATGCTAAACCTAACTGATAGTGTAAACAAAAGCAAACAAGATACACATGTATTTGCTATGAAGCAACCATGCCATTTTAGCCTGTTTTCTTTTGTGCTCTTTTTCTGACTTGCATCGAATGCAATGCTTTACCAGGTGTGCTACCAAGCAAGTTTACTATGTCAAACATGCCATATGAAGCTGGCTGTATGATGCAAATGATAAAATGTAATAGTTTTCAAATCATGCACTATGGTAAAAGTCATAGAGTCAGTATTTTGCAAGGAATTGTGTGAAAATAAGTATGCCCCGTAATCATAATTTGTGTGAAAAGGAATAAAAGTTGGTGGTTTGCTGCCACTAGTGTTCACCTCAGCTTAAAACAGCAGTGAATTGCATAGGTGTGTTTTTAGAGCTTTGCAAAAAAGTTTTTCCAATGAGCCTATAGGTTGATTTTAAAGAAATAGTTCACTCAAAAATAAAATGGTGTAACCCTTTTATCATTCCAAACCCATATTACTTGTTTTTAAGAATGTCGAGGCTACTATTTTTCGTACAATAGCAGTTGAATAATCTGTTAAACTCCAAAAAGGAGATATAAAAGCAAAAGCTTGTGATTTAAACCCATCATCTTTACTTAATCTGGGAAAACAGACAAAATATTAATCACTTTGTTAATCAATATTTATTTTGGTCCAATCAATACTCTTTAGAATAAGCATGTCCTTCCCCCAATACCACCTGCCACTGACTAACAATAGCTAGTAGCAAATCATGGATTTGCTGAGCTGTGATGTAAACTGATGTCAATTGGCTATTACACACAGCTGTTTAGTTCACATGCGTGTGTGTTTGGGTGTGTGTGGTCAGCATGTGATCAGTGACTCTAGCTGAGAGAGTAAAAGTTGATGCTCAAGTGTGTGTGTGGGTGTGTGTAGGGTCAGGTCAAGGGTCACTGAGTCCTAATCGACGCAACTCTCCATCCACAGACTACTCACTGCAGGCATCGTGGCAACAGGCCCCAATACCACCTGCCACTGACTAACAATAGCTAGTAGCAAATCATGGATTTGCTGAGCTGTGATGTAAACTGATGTCAATTGGCTATTACACACAGCTGTTTAGTTCACATGCGTGTGTGTTTGGGTGTGTGTGGTCAGCATGTGATCAGTGACTCTAGCTGAGAGAGTAAAAGTTGATGCTCAAGTGTGTGTGTGGGTGTGTGTAGGGTCAGGTCAAGGGTCACTGAGTCCTAATCGACGCAACTCTCCATCCACAGACTCCTCACTGCAGGCATCGTGGCAACAGGGGTCAGCGGGGTCCCTAGGGTTACCGGGGGTCAGGGGATGGAAGAAGATGGGCCACACAGAGATCACTCTCACAACTTCTGTCACTCCAAATACTCTTCATCTCTTCAATGCATTCAGTAACCTCGCAAAGACCCCATGAAAAGGTCTGACAAGCAGTTTTTTTTTCTCTTTGTTGACGTATGTCCTATATAGGAAGTTGGGGAGGGATGTACTGATGAGCTTGATGGCCCTTCATATTAGACTTTCCATTCACCTTCGTTCAAAAGCATCCAAATGTGGAAGGAAAGTTTATTTATTTATTTATTGACCTTGCAGATTTCTTTAACCATTTTTTTCCACATTATTTTTGTTCTGTTTCCTCAAAAGAGAATAATATAAATATGTGTATTTATTACAAGTTAATTTATCATACTGATGGCCTCAAACTTGATGTTAATGACACCAAACACCATTGGTCCTCATAACTGATCATGCAGAAAGTTGAAATTCCTTAATGTACTTTACTGAGGTGAGTCTGGAAATGACCACCCTGTACACGCAATTCACGATTGTACAAACTGTTTATTCGCACAATTTACCCACAGACACTGGTTTTAGTCTAATGGCCATTGGTCTTAAAAGCCCTGTGTGTCTGTATCCCCCTTTTCCTCAGATGTTCTCAGCAGAAACCTGTCTTTAACACATCCAGGTTGGTAGAAGGGCCATTACACAGCATCTAAACATGTGAGGCACGCAAACACTGAGCTGGGATTGTTAACGGCAACTTATATTCACATCCATCCTCCATTTATTGCGGCTGGTTGTACAACCAGGTTGTTTATAAAGCATTAAATCAAATAGTTTATTAAAGAAAACACAACGTGTACATGAAACAGGGACCACACAGACAGACTAGAGGCTAATGTTCATACTGAGGTGCATCAGCTCTGTTTGGAAGTCAGATGTAAATATAACATGTCAGTAAAATGGAAATGTTCATTTAATTTAATGCTGTTATATGTTTAAATCTGGACCATCGCGTACATTAATAGGGTCTGAGGCGATTTTGTTATGGGATGTCCCCCAATGAGTTATATAACAGATATAACAATATAACAGAGACCCTTAGTGGTCCCCCTTTGTCACAGAAACTGGTTGTCCCCCACAAATCTTAAAAAAAAAAAATTATAT